ACTATGCATTCATTTCTTGAAATCTCAAATTGTAATATGAAAAACTTATTGAAAACCAATTTATTTATTTTCAGTCCTTATATGATGCTATTTGAACATATACTGTGTTGATTTTAAGTTATTTCAAGATTGTGTTAATCAGTATCCATACATGTATGAGAAATAGTGGTTATTTTAACAATAAAATTGTCACTAGCTTCTTTTTCATAATAGATCTAGTTGTCTATAACTGAATGATTATTTAAAAGTAATTTCCTTGAGGTATTTTATATTGTGTATTTGTCCTCTAATCTACACAACGAAATTCTGTATTTTGACGTGTTAATCGTTACAAGATGAGTTAATTTCATATAATCGTAAAGAAATAATGTAATGAAAACATTTGAATTATTAACTGAGGTCAGCTAGAGTCATTAGTACATGAAAGAAACTAAACAATTGATTTATTCTAGTCTTAACATTTTTATCGGTTCATATTCAAAAGGATCAATAGCAACTGGAAACAGCTGGAAAGTAATGCCCATTAAAGATTTCGAAGGGGAGTGTTGGTAAGCGGCCTATGCTCCTTTACGAGGGGTAACAGGCGTATGTAAGTAAGTAAGTAAGTAAGTATTAGTTTATATTCAGTGAATGTCCACTGAATATATATATATAACACATAGGTAAATATCTCATTCTTAAATTGTTTTGTTAAAAAGATTATCTCTTCTTTCTATAGTTTTGAAAAACTGTCACTCCCGATTATTTTTTCACTAGTGGATTCATAAGCATTATTTACTTGCGTGATTTGATGAACTGTTTTAAGTCTAGATAATAGCTCTGTCAAGAATTGTCATCAGTTAGAGAATTATTAAGAACTATGGAGAACCAAAATAGTTGTTTCTCTTCATAACATGAAGATCATAGGTTTGATTTCAAGCAAATTTGTCATTACAAGTTGTTGAATGCTTTCTAATTTACAAATGACATTTAAGTTGTAATAGAAGCAAAAGTTTCCTGCCTTAACGTGCAACCTAGTTTAATTTACTGATTTATGTTTCTTATTCTGGCCATTGTAATTGCGCATGAAGTCCTGCTGAGGTTACTGCCGTTTTCAAGCTCAGATAAAGGGGGATGAATAGGCATGGAGTTAGTAATCCGGTCTTGTATAAAGAAATTCGGCAAAAAGGAGCTAACGAAAATAAATCAGCATCAAACAGAAGTCCGATATCGAGGTGACTATAGAATTGTTTCACGTTCTTTTCAGAAACGTTTGGGAGAAATACACGTACTAGTAGCCTGGAAATAAAGTTTACTTGTCATGATAATAAAGAAAAGAGATATCGGAAAGTGTGAGAACTACAGAGACATCACAAGCCAGATCGATCATGGACCAATTAAATAATGACTCCTCAAATTATTGTTGAGCAATCTGTTCAGTGGAACTCGTCGCTATGCATCAGCCTCTATGGCATGGATGGAAGAAAATTGTGCAGTTTTCTTTGATACTGTGGGGTAGTTGAGAAGATCGTTACCATTCTGCGAAACTCTTACATGAGACTAAATTGTAAAGTTGCACATTGAGCTCACGAACTCACTCTAAATGAATACCGGTGTAATACAAAGCTGCCTACTCTTGTATATTCTCTTTCTCCTGGCTTTTGACTGATATATGAAGACCTCCACATCTCAGGACAAGCACTGAATAAAGTGGACAGTATGGATACAAGCAGAATATTTGAACTCTGTAAATGGTCTAGCCCTTCTGTTCCATTCAAAGCATCAAATACTGATGAAAACAGCTAGTGTAACAAAAGTAGGTTTTAACATTCACAAACGGAATAGCAAGATCCTAACGTACAACACAGAGAGCAGCTATATAATCACATCTGATGGAGTAGCTCTGGTAGAGGTGGAAACTTTTTATTATTTAGATATTATCATTGAAAGATAAGAACTACCTGATGCAGGTGGCAAGAGATGGATTGGCAAAAATGGCGGCATTCCTACAGCTAAAAAATATGGAACACAAAATAACTGACAGACAATACCAAAGTCACAATCTCAACACAAACTTCAATACAGTTCCGTTTTACGAAGACGAAGATTCGAAAACTATTACAATCATCATCAAAATGGTACACGTATTTGTAAACACATGTCTATGCAACATACTCCAGATCCATTGATCAGACATCATTTGTCATAATCAACTGTGGTGGACAACAAATCAGATTCCAGATGTAGAGGAAATTGGGAAAGTTCAGTATAGGTGGATAGGACAAATGTTGCAGAAATCGTCAGACCTTGTTACAAAACAAGCCCTGAATCGGAATTCTGAAGACGAAAGGAAAGAAGGTAGATGAAAAAACGCATTCTGTCGGAAATTGACGACAAATGTTAAAAGGGTGAATCGTACTTGGAAACAACTGGAAATGAAAGCGGGGGACACAGTATTTCAAAGTTTGCTGGTCGATGTCCAATTCTCTAAAAAGAGTAAGTATAGACTTATGACTGTTAGGCCTGATTTTGAAGTCATTGGAAACAATTGTTCGCTCTAATATCTCTGGCTTGAAGATAGTATGAAGTTTGCATTAAATGTTCCATGCAGTTTTTCTCCCCTTGATAATATTCCCAGAATATTATGAAATCATTTTACTACATAATTTTCACTTCAGTAAAATACATGCCAATGAAATAAGTTATTTCTAATCATTAACATTAGTTAGAATTCGAAAACCGAATCGTTCATCAATAAAATACAGTTGTTTGTAATGTAAATGAAATTAGCAACTAAGGTTTTCATAGAATTTTTATAATTTATTTGACTAGCAATACTATAATATTCAAGAAAGTTTTGCTACGTAACGTAACAAGACCTCTTCAGCATTTATGAAAAAAGATACAAACACTGAATTTAAATTTGCTAAGTTGAAATTCTGATTAACTAAAAAATAAAAACGGTAAGATATCTGTTTACAATTGTTTCCATGGCAGTCGTACACTAACCGTGAACTCATTTAAAAAACAAATTTCCTATTAAAACACATTTGCTTCTATAACTTCTTTGAATTCTAACGATGGAGGTTTGGATTGCTTGTGGATCACTTTGAGTAACTCCATTGTATCCATTTCAAATACCTTATTAGCGGGTGGCGTACTATGGAACTAGAAAGACTGTTTTGCCTTTGGAGACAAAGGTTCTTACTAATATTTTTTTGTTTAAATTGTTTGTTGTGTTATATTAATGGTGTGATAAGACGTGATTAACAGATTTTTGATAGATGCATTGTAGGAGATCGACTTGTGGAATCATTCAAGTCCGCAGTGATACAAAAACTCTTCGATAATATGAATTGACTTTATTGCCACATCACATATAGACTTAACTGGAACCATAGGTTACTAGATCTTGTCTTGGTGGGTCAACGATGTCATGGCTATGTTGTATATTTGAGTCGTGCATTTGATTCTACGTAGAGTGTTTTGAGAGGACAGTACTAATAATACTGAATTAAGCAGTCGTCCATATCTCCGTTTTTTTAATGACCATTCAACTGACATCAGTTTGCGACAAATATTAAACTTCAAAACAACATTTATAAGTAGTATTGTTGCTTTCCATTAAATGTAAACCTCTAGTGACAGCTTCGTAATCTAGGTTGGTAGGAAATTTCAGCCAAATTTATTAAAATGACAAATTATTGAAATTAAGTAGTAATGAATACATATTGACCACCATTCAGTACTACTCGATTAGATTTCTGAAACTTTAAGAAACAAATGGACTACAACATGTGACTTTTTTATTGACAGAAACATCATTGCTCACAACTCGACTTATACTTGTCATTGTAGTCTTATTACTTTCCAAGCTTTTTTTTCTCAAGGATAGAGCCTTTGTGATCAGTTTAAACGTTGAGCTAAATGAAATTTCGGGGGGGGGGGTAAATGATAAATAATACGGAAAAAATTACTTATTTAATTAAGAACTCAACAAGATCAATTTAGTCAATAGTATCAACTCTAAGAATAAACGGTCCACGGCTGCTTATATAATAGATGGTGAAAATGAAACGTTTTCTACTTGTAAAGTTTTCTTTAAGAAATATTCAATGTATAATGTCAATATCATTTCTTTCATTGAATTGTATTTTGAAAGAATACATAAAGGTGGAAGTGAATCATTTTACCAATAAAAATCAAGCTGATTTAGAATATTTTCTATTCCTGAGTTAAACAGGAAACTTGGAGATCTCGGTTGAAATTCAATTTTGTGGCATAACATACACAAGTAACTACATAAAATTGTTATCCGAAATGAAAGAATATTGGTTGTATAATGTTTGTATTCGAGATGTTTGTCACTTCAAATTTCAAACCTCTCATAGATTTTCATTGTAGTATATATCGTAATTAATCCTGAAATTGGTTTAGTCTGATGTAAGCTATTGAATGTTCTACTTGAACTAAGAAATAACACTTATTTTGTAAGTTGACGAAGATGGTGAACATTATGGCATGTCAAACAGTGTCCGAGGGCGTTTATTCAAATGGTGAGTAGGCGAATATCGATAATTAATCGATAAATAATATTACTTACTTTAGATTGGTTCATTATGACCGAATAATTAATGTCAATTAGCCTTAGTCTACTATTATTGGTTTAAGTAATTGTTTTCTGTTCAAATTATGTAGCAATCAAATTTTGTTAATTTACTTACGCCCACATGTGTTGTCTTAGTCGACGACACTTTAAAGTTGATCATTACTTGAATGCTGCCACCCTGCAAGTAGTTGAGTGATACGAAACCGTTAATGACATTAATTTAACCAACCATAATGTAATTAACTAATTTAAACAAAAATAAAGGATTATCATTGGTTAAATGTTCAATAAAAACTAATATAATGTCCATCACAGTATTTTGAACAAAAATATTCTTTTTATTTGAAAAATTCAAACAAAACAAACAAATCAGAATATATTTGGAAACATCATTTGTATAAGTAATCAAAATATGAATCTACAAGAAGTGGAAGCATCATATAATGAAATAACCTCGTCAGCATTGAAACTTATCATGGAGATTTCAATCAATAAACTGAAGAATTTTCAAAGTACTTTACAACCATCGACAGGACCACTTATAAGATCAATAGAGAATAAAAATAATTCATTAATGGATAAATCCAATGGATCAAATACAATTGATTCATCTCAACATATCTCTTTCAAAAAAACATCTAATAGTTTTTCACCAAGTAATCGGTTATACAGGATAATGGTAATTTTAAAAATTGCTAAAAAAGCAAGATCTGTATTATTAAACCGAGAAGCACTTAATATACCACAAGCGGATAATAAATCAACTGATGTACAAAAGATTTCCTCTTCCGAAAACGACTCAAACAATCATTCATATAACACACAACAATGTGATCCTGTGAAACAACCTGGAACACCTAATATGAGTTCAATTCAAACAAAAAGGCATTCAGAATTACGAGTTTTACATCCAAACAAGCAAAATGAACAAGTGTATCAATGTGTCTATGATTCTGTTCCAAATAACTCTTCAGTATGCACTAGCAATAAAAGAGCACTTGATTCTAATCCATCTACTTCGATACCTGAAAAACGTGCATTTTTAAATTTTCAAAGTGAAAATCCTATGAAATGTGATAAATCATCACATCAAGATACATTAAATGTAATGTATAGTTTAACTACTCCATACAATACAGGGAATATTGAAAATAGTCTAATTAAACCAAAATTTAACCAACATAACGATAACGATGATGAATATGACGATCCTAATGATAATGATGTCATTATGTATTCAAAATCTTATCCCTTGTGCAAATGTCGATTATCAATCCAAAATTCTAAAGTATGTGGTTTAGGAAATGGTTTAATCGCATCAAATGAAGTATTATCATCAAGTACTTCTCTTCAACAAATGAATCATTCAATGGATTATGAAGAAATTAGTAATGATTATGGACGAGATATGTGTATATGTCTTTCTAATTCACCAAATTCACGACCATTGATTACTGGAATAATATGAAACAATATATACAATAATAATTATTCTCTAGGCGATAAAATATTTTAATTAATGTATATTGTAAATTATTGTAAACGACTGTGATATAAAGTCATATTCACATTAACATCAATATATATGTATATTGTTTACATGTGATTGTACATAAATTATGAGCACATCAATCAATCTCAGGGCTTAAACTATTCACATTTAACCGCCTTATGATTATTCACATTGTTATGCATACAAAGAAAGAAACTATAAATAAAAATTCTCCTGCCGTTAACTTCTTCAAAATGTACATCCATTTTTCTCCTTCCTGTTTTTTCTTCAATTTAATTATAAGGAAGAATGATAAATAGGAATAATTCAACTATGATCTATCTGTGATCCATCCATTCACTCTAAAATCTATTTGTTTAAATGATTTGAATTTTAGAATGTAAAGCAACATACTGTTATATATAAATATCTGTTTTGCTCTTAAATTTATACATTTATTATTTGTATTTAATGGAAGGCAAGATTTATTAGTTTAACCAATGTTAACATATAGAAAGAGTTAAAATGACTGTTCAGTATGATTCGTAGACAACCATATTCAGTTTATGTATGAATAATGACATGTGCAAATGTTTGCTAAGATATATCTAGTCAACATGCTAGTTGTTTTAAATAATTAAATACTTTAAATAATTTCATATTTTAAACGAGCAATTTATGTGTACTTTTATAGCTTCAGATAAATCTAGTCTGTTTCTGATTGCAAATATTCGCCTAATAATTATGGTAGACCCTAGATGTGGAAATATAACAAAAACTAAATATCAGTATAAGGTTGTGGAGATTGTTGACTTTAAATTGATGTCAGGAGCGGGTCAATGTTAGACCACTATTGAAAACCTGGAAGCACTGATCTAATACGAATCTATTCATAATATCAATCTAAATTCAACAATCTACATAACCCTATACTGATAATTATCATGTGCTCATTAGTGACTAACATCAAGATGAATCTCATGGAGTTTTAGTGAGAAGTCGTTACCAGTGGATTTCAGCCGTGTCTGTTGTAGAGGCAGTTACTCACCGATCCATTCATGATATCAATATAAGCTAAATACTTCAATAGTCAATATTTTATTAATTTAATAATTTGCCTGAATAACCATTTTCAGAATATTATCTCTATAGAACCTAATCAGCTGTTTAGATGAGATCCATAGTTTATTTCTTTCAAAATTAACACTAACCACGTGATTAATTGGCATTAGGAATAAAACCAAATTGAATATTAATTTCAAATTTTAGCATACTGAATTTTCCAAAACTATCTGTGTATAAATTGTAGTGCTTTGGTTAGTATACTATACTAAGATGAATGAATATACTTCATGAAGTAAATAAAAATGCCTCACATAAATATTATGGTCACATTTGATTTTAAAATATCACATGATGTCAGCTGATCGATTTGTGTACAAACAACCGATAGTTCAGTAAGAAAATAATAATAGCTAACTGACCCAATTTCGGAACTAAGAATCAATGTAGTATTCAAAGACTTAGGTACAATCAAATAATTGTGGAATATGATACATAATGTTTCCATTATCATATTGAAGGAAGTAAGAAGAAACATTTAAACAGAATAACATTAATTCAATTTATTTCATTGAGTTCTCGTCAACTGCTTACAATCTATAATGTGTAAAAATAAAATATTGTACGGAAGAACATTCCACAATATTGATAATAGCAGAATTGTAAAGAATTACTATCAAATGGTTAGGTAATTAACAAATGTTAATAGTAAGAAAAAAAATGAATAGGTCTCTGTTAGTTTACTTAGGTGTTTGTTATCGAGCTTCAGAAATGTAGTTTGTGTTCGAAAGAAGATAGTTGCCAATTTTTCTCTACCTTGGTGACAACAACGTCTCTTCGTTACATCATGACATTTTTTCACTTAGCATTGTTTGTTTATATCTTCCCATCGATGTTTAGGACTACAATGGTTCAGTCTCTTATTGACATATGTGCATCCTGTGAGGATTGCCTTAATATTACCTAGGTCACAACCAATATAAGCAAAAATGGATGATGGCTAGCAATGGAACTCAGGACACACGTTTCGTCCTAGTTGGCACTCGTCAGCTGGATGTACTTGCATCCCATATCTGACGTCCACCCCGTAACTCGAACCAGGTACTGTTCACTTCAAACGCAATCACATTATCTACTTAGCTGCTGAGTCCTGGTATCCACTTGAAATTTCGTCAAACTCTTTCAATTGATTGCAATGTTACATCCATATTTAGACTCTTCTAGATTAACGATTTTATTTTAACTAATCTAGCTTTACTTATTCTATCCTTATTTACTATTATCATTTGTTCATTACCTAACCATTAGACAGTAATTCCTTAATATTTTGTCATTATTATTGGCTTTATTCAATGTTATATTTTTGGTAAAATGTAGAATTCTCAGCATAAATTATTTCAACAAGTTCCCTTTTTTTATTTCTCAATCGATCCATGAAATAAATATTGAATGGTCGCCAGTTAGATATTAGTAGTTCGGGAATCGACTTTTGAATAATATACATTTTTTTCTATGCATATCGCCAGCAACCACGATGTCTATGAATGGCTACTTTTGTAACTTGTGTAGCGAAATATTGTTAACATGTTACAAACGCTCTTGAATAGGTTATGCGACTAATGGGCATAATGATGTGTTAAAACAAACAAAAAAACAGATAACTTTTTGAAATATCCAAATATCAGGGACAAGTAGCCTAGATATTCAAACATGACGCCTGGAATTATCATCAATATTGTGGAATGTCCATCGGTACAATATTTCACTTATTCTCTTCAACCGATTTACATTCTTGTTATACTATACTATTCCATGTTCATAACACCTTCCAACTAAACTCATTTATTCAAGTTATTTCAACTCATTCTGTCATTTTAATTTTAACATATTACAGATTGTAAACAGTTGATGGAAAACTTAATCAATTAAACTGAATTCATATTATTCTTTACTGAAATCCTGATTCTTGTTTTCATCAATTATATTATCTCCAAATCGATAGATTTAAAATTTATTTCTTATTCATTACAAATCAAAACAAAACAAACAAACAAAAAGAAAACTTTAAAGAAAATCTAATGAATAGACAATAGAATTTCATTGTCATTCATTCCATAGATAACAAATTGTATTATTACACTATGAAATATCAAAATAAAATCTAATCCTATTAATATATAGTAATATTTTATTAGTGAATCTTCATAATAATAAAAATAATAATCACAACTTCCTACTTGTAGATTAAATTCTAACTAATGTCCTAAATCTATGCTAAATTAAGTCATAGAAACAATAATCCAATTGGTGAATTCAATTAATTAGATAAAAAATTATTTAATATCAATGGTTAAGATCATGAATTAGTTGAAGCTAGAACATCAATAGTTGAAATCATGCACACTGCTGAGGAGTCCCACAATAGGACAAAACGACCGTTCAGTGCTTGCACGTATCCCATGGTGGTCTAACTTCAATTGACTCATGATCTTAACCATTGAAAAATTATTTACTCCGATTTATTCAGTTGAAAAAAATAATAACTAGTTATCTTGATAATATTGTTTTAGTTATCTTTTATTTGAAAATGATTATATGTATGAGATGGTAAAGAAGATTTGTAGCTCAAGTGGATTGTTTTTCATGCTTACAATATCAGTGAATAAATAGTATATTTTTATCAGATATGAAATATATATGGATAACTAATGTTGGTTATTATAATTATCCTTGATATTGCATATTGTAAATACTTATGGAATCGATATTCTTATTTTATCTAATACAAATTAAATATTGTTTGCAATTGAACATAATTCGCATAGATCTACATTATCTGGAACACCATTTCGGATATGGGACAAAGCGTTATACGTATTCCATTTTAATTTACGGATCTACAACAGTATTCTTTGATCATATTAAAACTTTGAGGTATCATAAGTGATATAACAGGTAGATCCACTATCCACCTGTTCAGTTGATTCGTGGTATACAGGGTTTCTTATTAAATGGTACAGATGAGTAACTGCTTCATCCAATACGTTGTTGAATCAATAAGAAAAAAAATTTATATATTTTAAATTATCGTGTTTTTCACAGACATAAAAGTCTTTGACTTAATATTGTCTAGTATCATGCTGGGACATCACTATATGGCCTCTTTACTGAACCGTTACTAATATTAGATGAAATATTAGAGAAACTGAAAAGATTTTCTATAAGTGTTCAGTTCTATACAATTCATATTGTCAAACACATAATGTACATGCATCTAAATTATTAATTCTTATAGCTCATTATAATTGAGTTTTTACATAAAATTGATAGGATAATGCATTCATTTTATGAATGTTCACTCGTCTCTATTATTCATATCCTATAATTCAAAAAAACTGATGACCGAAACGTTTTCGAGAAATTTATTCAGCATCCACACCTATTTTCTAATTCGAATCCATTTCACTTTGTTCTATATATTATGTGATTCCTTATTTGTAATTACATTATTGTCTCTCTCCTTCCATCTTAACCATATTTATTCTAATCACTAATCTCATAATTTTACTTAATGTGTAAGATTATTACTTACTTACGCCCGTTACCCCTCGTGAAGGAGTATAGGCCACTCACTCACCAGTATTCTCCATCCAACCCTGTCCTGGGCAATTCTTTTCCAGATCTTTCCAGTTGTTATTCATCCTTTTCATATCTAACGGAGTTGTGTAACATTATGAAAGTTCACAATTCATCCCAACATTTACAATTTTATTTCATTTTATATCACAAACAATCCTTAATTCATATGTTATGATTTTAAATGTTGTACATTGCTTTAAATTTGGCTGATCATATCTTTATTTGAATTATTAATTTGAATAGATAATTGTAGAATCTGAAGAAACATTCTTCGT